GATTAGATAAGAGAACAGCAGCGCAAAGTTCCAGCCTGGGAACGGAAACAGTCTTGAGAGCTGCAACCTTTGACCTTGCACTTAGTAACTGAATTGCAAAATCATCGTTGTCCCCTTTAACTCTAAGATAAACTGCTGCTGCAAATCCTTTCTCAGAGCTATCAGAAAACCCATGAACCTCACAAAGAGAAGGAGAATCAAAATAAATTTGTCGGCAAATTTTGATTTCTGAGAGACAAGGAAGTTCAGCCTTATATTGTTTCCATTTTTCCGTTACGTTTGAGGGAGGAGTTGCATCCCAGTCTAGCCCTAGAGTCCAGAGGAGTTGTAAGAGATGCTTGGCGAAGAATATAAGTGGTGTGAGAAATCCTAATGGATCAAACATCCGTGCAATTTCTGAGAGAATCGATCTTTCCGTACAGGAACAGTCCCGTGGTGAGACATGGTACAAAAATTGATCTTGTGAAGGATACCACCTGAGCCCTAAAATTTTTATGACAGAGTCATCAGAATCAAAATTTAGCGGGTTTTGTTGGCAGTCTTCACCGGGAAATGGAGTTAAGAGATCAGAATTATTACTTGACCACTTCCGAAGCTGAAAACCGCCCTTTTCAAGCAGAGCAATCAATTGAGTTTGAAGAACTTTAGCAGTTTGAAGATCTTTAGCACCAGTAATGACATCGTCAACATATGTATCGGAGGTTAATATTGCCGAAGCTAAAGGAAAGTTTTCTTGTTCATCTTGAGCTAACTGATGCAGAGTCCGAATGGCAAGAAAGGGGGCTGAACTGACACCAAAGCTTACCGTGTTCAATCGGTAATCTTGAACGATGTCACCAAGAGAAAATCTCCACAAAATACGCTGATAGTCACGATGCTTTTCATCGATTAGAATTTGGCGATACATCTGCTTTATATCAGCCGTGAAGACATACGAATGCAACCGAAAATTCAGAAGAAGAACAATAATATTTTGTTGTAATTTCTTTTCCACCAATAGAGTATCATTCAATGAGGAACCTAAGGGAGATTTCGCTGAGGCGTCGAAAACTACTCTCAGCTTCGTAGTGGTGCTATTAGGATTTAAAACACAATGATGGGGTATATAGAAAGTATTCTCAAAGGAGGACGTGGGAGATACGGCCTCCATGTGATTGCTTTCTAAATATTCCTGCATAAACATGGAATATTCTTTATGGAGAGATGGGTTTTGGCATAATCTGCGTTCTAACGAGTAAAATCGACGCAGAGCTTGAGATCGTGTATCTGAAAAATAGGGTTCAGATTCTTTAAAAGGGAGAGATACAATATACCTTCCACCAGGACTACGAGAGTGATGTCGCTTGAAATGTTCTTCGCATTTCACCTCTTCTGGTGAGGAGATTAGAGCCTGAGGAATTTCTTCCAATTCCCAGAAGAGTTTGAGTGTTTTTTCCAGAGGGGGTACACATGACGTGAAAAATGAGTGAACAGAGGAATTAGATGAGGTATTCACTCTGCCTATAAGAATCCATCCAAATATGGTATTCAGAGCCGTGGCCCCCCCATTGCCCCCCTCCAATTTACCCTCTTTCATGATGATAGAAAATAAATCGGCTCCGAGGAGCATATCAATGGGACCAGATACATTACAGTGGGAGTCAGCCAACTTGAGATTTGCCAAATGTGGCCACTGAGAAAGTGAAAAGCTAAAGGCCGGCATATTGGAACAAATCTTTGGTAAAACCGCAACTTCAGCAGTTAACAGAGGAGACGGAGTCATAAGGGGTTTCAAAGTACATGTGAGGCTGACCGAGGATATCGAGGACATGTGACCAAGACCATTGATTGCCAGTGAGGATCTTTCTTTTGGCAATCCCAAACGGTAAGCACATTTTTCAGTTATGAAGCTGGCTTGACTGGCAGAGTCTAATAAAACCCGAGCCTTTTGATAGTTATTACGTGAGTCAAGGATTTTAACTTGAGCAGTAGACAGAAGGACCGTAGAATTAGAAGAGACCACATTGGTCATGGAGTTGACCTGAGATATTGTGGGTTCCGAAGATGCAGTCTGAGAAGAGGTTACTGACCTCATATGATCAGAAATGGGAGTAGCCTGCGTTGAGGCAACCTTATTATCAAAATGAAGGAGAGTATGGTTAGATGAGCGGCTGCACACCCTGCACACTGAACGAGAGGTACAATTTATTGCTGAATGCCGGTTACCCAAGCACTTTGTACACCAATTATTTTGTTTTACAGTTTCGTATCTCTCTTGGGGAGATTTTGAGGCAAAAATGGAACATCTATATATTGTATGAGGCTGTTTACAAAGAGAACATTTGTTATTCGGAGAATTAGTTTCAGTTAAAAGAGTAGCAGTCGATGGGGAAGAATTATATCGGCTCAAAGGCTTCGAGCCTCTATAGTTTGAGTTTGAATTAGTATTGCACTTCTGTGGAGCTTTAGCGACACCCATAGAAGCAAGAGCAATACATTGTTTCTCTAAAAATTCATAGAGCTTCTTATAAGTCGGAATGGCTACAGAGGCGTGTTCGAGTTCAAAACGACGCAGAGTATCAGCATCCAATTTTTTGCTCATCAAATGAAATAGTACGAAATCCCAACTTTCGACTGGAAAATTCAAATTTTCGAGAGCTTTAATAAGATTATCTGAGAATGTGTCTAATAAATTCCGAAGATTTCGTACTGATTCACTTGTGAGTTTTGGAGAGTTATTTATTTCTTCCCAATAATATGACGATAAAAGTCTTTCATTTTGGAATCGAGTTTTCAAATTTGTATATGCAATGGCGTAATTATCAGCAGTAAGTGGGAGATTTTTGATTAAACCCAACGGATCTCCACTGACAACGGATAAAAGATACTGAAATTTCTCAATGTCAGACAAAGAATCATTATTGTGGATGAGAGAGTCAAAAAGATCAATGAATGTAGGCCATGATTTGAGAGTACCATCAAAAGTAGGAACATTAAATTTTGGCAATTTTACTTGGGAATATTTTGGAACTGGGATATTTACTTGAGGTTCACGTAATTCGAAATTGATCTTCTTTATACTATAGTAGAGTCTATCTACCTCCATGCGAAAGACTTTTTCAGCTTCCAAGTCAGCGTCTTCTAGAACAGATATAATTTGTATGACAGAAACATGACTAGAGTTGAACTCCGCATAAATGTCAGAGAGTTCATCAGTTATGATTTGAAGAGCAGTTCTCATAGAGGCATCAGTGACAGCTAGTAGTGCAAGTTCATGGATTTCCAAGATTCTATCAGCTGAAATTTGCCGCTGAGCGCGATATTGTTTGAGTTGCTTTGCCGCCATATTATTGAAAAGATTGGTTCTCTGTTCAGCAGACAGCGTAAAAGAAGTATTTTTTATAATTGTTCAAGAAAAAAAAATTGAGAACTAATGATGTGTTCGACCATTCCTGAATTGTGTATAGCAGTTTATCAAAATTCCAATTATATGGGCCAAAGTTCACTTTTAGGATGGCAGGTAACAAAAACTCATTGGGGATTTTCGCTTGGAACACAAAAACACTGTTCCAAAGACAAGTTTTTACGCACCACTAGAATGAATGAATGAAACTAAAGAAATATATTTATTTAATTAAATCAATTGATCGATCAATTTTGAGATTTAATTGTGTACTTATAGGTATCTTTGAGGAGTTTTCTTTTCTTAAAACATTTTATAAAACACTTGGAGAATAATTTTTAACCGGCAATACGATAGAATTAAAAATAATATATTTTTATTTCTAATGATTGTAAAGAGAATATGAGAGAATGAGATATACTAAGAATAAAGTTTAATTTTACTTGGTTCTTTGGAATTTTCTCTCCTCGTTTCTATAAAATAAAAGTATTCGTATTATTTCAATATATTTGTAGAGGGACAAATCAGATGATTTGCCCCAAAATGTCACTGCGTTTAACAAATTTTTCTATCAGGGAGTCTGAAAGAAAAATCCAGTAGCTTGTCAGTGACAATTTGTTTGAAAAAATTTTTGAAGGAAAGAAATATAGATATATTGAAAAAATATCGAATTTGTACTTATCTTTGGACGTTTCGGGACCGATTCTGCTCCCGTTCTCAACATGTAAATGCAAATTATTTTTCTCTTAGACTCCCTGATAGAAAAATTTGTTAAACGCAGTGACATTTTGGGGCAAATCATCTGATTTGTCCCTCTACAAATATATTGAAATAATACGAATACTTTTATTTTATAGAAACGAGGAGAGAAAATCCCAAAGAACCAAGTAAAATGAATGTACCACCTCCTCGATTAACCTACAGACAGTATTTAATAAAGTTTAACTTTGATTGCGTAATCCGACTCGAAGTTGACCAAAAATGTTTGCACACGGACGAAAAAACGGGAAAATGGCTCCGTCAAACACAGCAAAATGGGCCTACCTGGCTAATACTCCTTCCAGAGTCCTTTCCATTTACTGCTTGGTTGCAACCACCTTTTTTTCTCTTGGAGGAGGGATGCTGGTTCGAATAGCTCGCAGTGGTAGTTTTATCTTGTCAGAGGTATCACTTTATTGCCGGCAAAATGCGATCGAAAGAGCAGTGCAATCTATCAACGTGTTCTGATCACTGATAGCACATGAGTGAGTAAATGGAAAAAGGAGAGCGCACTATCATTCTTGACTCTTCTCGATAGGTACCACATCAAGCTGATATTTTGACAGAGCATATAGTCGCGAAGTGAATTACACTAGACGCACAAAATTAGAAGCAAATATAAGAACTGAAAATTGATTTGATAAAGTATATTTGAATGAATTATTCTCAATATATCAAGCTACGACAAAAAACATATTGAAAAGAAAAAATATATAAAAATTAATAATATATTATCTCATTTATATATATTCTATTACTAAGACCAAACATCTGCCATAATGAGATCATGCGCTATGGACACTCGTCACTGTTTATATGGAATATCATATCATCTACTCGTATAATTTTTGTATTTTAGGTCCAGATCAATATCCTCGTCAGACAGTCCTCTCAATTGGGTGACTACACCCGAGTTCCTAATGCAACAGCACAGTTTTCCCTTTCAAGACAGCATATCAAGTTCACCTATCCTGAATTCTAGACAGACACATAAATGCCGAAGGTTCAGCGTAGACCTGAGTCAGATGAGGTAACACCAGAATAGCTTTGTATAATTCATTCGAACGAGAAAGAATAATTATTGTTTTGTTCAACAAGTTGACTCAAGGTCTTATCATGCCCAAACTCTCATCATTGTTCCAAAGACAACCTATGATGACCCCAAAAGAGACACAGAATCAGTCAAAACATACTACTTTGAAGTTCTTATCATTATTTCAATTTGTTTGGGATCTTCTCTCCTCATTACTACAAATGAAAATATGAGTATCATTCCAATATATGTGTGGTTAAATAAATCAGGTGTATAACTCCAAAATGTCACTGCATGCTTTTGAAATATTCACTATAAGAATTCCTGATAGATAAATTCAATCGATCGTTGGTTATTGTGTTCTAAAATTTTCAGAGAAGAGAAATGTATGTATCATTCGAAAAAATGTCGAATTCACGAAAATACTTTCTGATCGCCATTTTGAATGAAAAGAGATGTTAGCGAGCAAAAAGTCACGATCACCTCAAAACGTCTAACGGTCCATGGCACAATATCAAATCATCAACCATCAGAAGCCAATTCATTTTTTTGTATAAACGAGGAGAGACAAGACCCCAAAGTTCCACTGCCTCGAGAAACCTCCAGACAGTATTTGAATGGATTTCTGGTTGCTTCTCAAAACATTTCTTTTCGCGTCTTGGTCATAGTCTGAGATTAGACTGAAAGATCACCAAGTTCATCAAGTATTCAATGGAAATCTAATATTCACATATATTCATGAATAGGAGAATATCTTTTCATCGGGTCATTATTCGAAATGTGATCGCGAGTTTTTTTGAATCAAATGATGCTACTTGATTTCTAAAAAAAAATTCATCCATTCGTTCTCCAGACAAGATATATTTTCCCTTACAGATATTCGTGTGCAGAACTCGAAAAGTTATGGTTACTCTTGCGCACTTGGCCGCAACTTTTTCACAATCATCAGGTGTGAACAAGCATCGTTTTATTTATACGTTCATTGCGTTCATTGATCATTTTTATTGGAATAACTCTGCAAATGCAAATATGACTGAAAAATAGGCTCGCCAGCTGTTGAAGATAGATTGAACTGAAAAAAAAATAGGTGCGCAATATCGCTCGTAAGTAATTGCACATGCGTTGGAAGCTGCTGTTCTCACCATAGAATATGACGCAAACCGTTGTGAATAAAACCTAGGATACTCATGTAAAAGTAAAGTTGATCAAATTATTCAGGTGATTATTTTCAGACAATTTACATTATATCTGAAAACGTCCGAAGAATCCACTGTCAATATATTTTTTATGCGACGAAACAATAACTTCAACGATCACCTTTTGAATGATGCCTCATTGAAATCAAGCACATTATATCCTTCATCGCACTAGAAGGCACTTCTTCATTTTATCAAATATGTTTACATATCAAGAACGATAGAAACAATGCACTCCGAAACAGCGTGATCGTCTGATGATCAATTAATATCATTATCGTCGAACAGAACTTTACCAAAACTCCTTCATCCATAGAACGACTAGGCTCTGGAATTCATTGCCTGAGGAAGAATTCCCAACAACATATAATCTCCAGAAGTTCAAAAAAAATTCCAATACCTACCTCCTGTCCCTATCCTCCCTATAGGGATTTCCTTTCGTGCGCTCCAAGTGATAAAAAATTTACTTGCGGCTACATTTCGATGAGGAACCTGGTGAAAATTTCATTCATCACATGATCTAATCAATCACAAACCAAAAACAACTTGTGTTTTATCGCGAAAACACTAGTTGTCTTTCAATTCTGATTGGTGTTATCAGCTATAAAATCACGGATAGCAAAGCAAAGTCTGTCAGTTTGACACATGATAATCATAGCTGTGGTTGTCAGAATGAATTGCTCCTTCATAATGAACGATTTTTATGCTTCGTGAATGTGAAAAAGTCTAGCAAAATACTGAAAATTTTTTCATAATTCTGTTTTTCATCGTTCTGATGTGGTGGGGCCCAATTTCGTGAAAATGAAGTGACATAATTATCTCGAATATTCAGAGCATCGAGGTATTACTTATGAATACTCGATTAACGTAGTAATATTGCAGTCGGATCTCGTACTATCTAGAGTCACTGCATGGATATTAGTTTGATAAGAGTTCGGACACAGAAATGACAACAGTTAGGGTTTTTGAATGTTTAGATTTATAAAGTTACACACCTTGCATTGTGACAAGAGCACCATAGTCGTCCGGCGCTTTCTCATTGAAAATTTTTTGAATTTGACAATTCATTATATAAACGTCAGAATTGAAATAAAATTTCATAATTATTATACTTTCGGGATAAAAGCAGCTATGGAAATCACTTGCTGTATAATAAATTGTGCCAATTTTGAAACAAATCATTCGATTTCCCAAATCAAATATCAAGCACTCGCTTATGAAAGGAAGATATGAAAAGACCTGGGTGGAAAATCAATTTGAAGACGAGCGGAATTTGTGAGGTACTCATTGAAACTCACTTCTTATAATAGGATGAATCTATTTTTTAGGCCCATTTTCAAACAGAAGATTTCAAAATCTGCTGTTTCATCAATTTACAGAGCAGACGATTTCAAGAACAAAATTCCATTATCATCATCAAACAAAATACAAAACAAAATAATCATGGAAAGAGGCAATGATCGTAAAATTACATAATGAAATTGAAAATTTGAAAACAAAACTAAGAAAAGCAAGTAAACTACAACGTGATATATTATTGAATGGCGTTTTGGTGCTGACCGCGAAAATTCAACAGTGAAAAGTGAATAGATATTTATGTATCAAGGGAATTATTATAAGGGCCTTAATTACGCTGGAGGTTATCGTTTTGGAGATATTTTCTATATCGATCCATGTTACTTAGCTCCTAGGGCGCTAAGTGAAGTTGCTGAGAACCTAACAAAACCAAGTATTTGGTAAGTGTCGTCACAATAAATTACTTTTCTCCCATGAAATCTTTATCGAAAAATGATTTGTTCTCTATATTTCAACACCCTGTTTCTCCGAAATAAAGCATTTCCAGGCACAAGCTTATATAGACTTTATTTCTTAAAATTTACTCAGGAATACTTCACTAGAGTACAGTTCCACATACAATAAGGAATCATAGCTATAAGTTTATCCATATGAATATATTCTCTGATATTAAAATGTTGTTACATGCATTTTTTTTTTCATATATAATACCACAAGTGATAATATTTTGCCGGAAATATTCGGTGATTGTTACGACAGCTTGTTGCCTAGTAATTTCGTGAATGACATTGTTATCAAAACTACGAGCCGTAGGCGAGTAGTTTTGGATCAATGTCATGAGCGGAATTAGAGCAGCAAGCTGGAGTATGTCAATCGACGAATATCTCCAGGAAAAATAGTATCACGAGTTGTATTCGTATGACTATTCCATGATTGAATGAGACAATATATATAAGAAATAGGAAACATAATTTAAGTATATTCCAACTCAAACTGCGAAGAAGAACATAATGATAGTGATGAAAAACAGAATTACATTTTTTGAAAATTAACTACCTACTTATAGTTATTCACAGAGTGGAATGTACAATTTTGATGAACAGTATTTTGTTTATTATCTTGGAGATGGTTGCCCTCAAAAGAGTGTATACATTTGCTATCCAATTCGAACAAAATAAATTGAATTTATGTGACATGTAATAATTTAAAAAAAAAATTATTGCCGCCGGCGGGCTTGAACCACCGACCTTCGTATCACCGCGCAACCCTATCAGTTGAGCCACATCACCTGGATTATATTAGTCACAATAACTTGAGTGACTGAAGAAGATTACTTTAAAAAGGAATTTGAATTCTAGTATTGTCACAGTATAGAGCTCTGTCAGACCGTCAACAAATATTATATAAACTTATTAAATTACACATGAATGAAACGTCCAGCCAGAATGAAATTGTCTCGCCTTTCGTACAAAATGTCTCACTAACGCGAATCAAAAGTAAATAAAATGAAGTTGGTACTTGGGTTATTGTCTCTTGTGTCAGATTTGAATACAAATCAAACTTGACTAGACACGATGTCAAAATTGTATCGCTGATAAACGAGGTTTGTTGGTCACGTGTGGGTCAATTCGGCTTCTGTATTGGTAGAGCAAGTCCGATAAAATTTAATAAACAATAAATATCGCTAGAATACAGGAGAAACCGTGAAAATAGTCGATTCTGATTGGTTCTCGAGATCAAGAGTGGAATAGTCATTTATATAAATCTTGCTCTGCTAGAAGTGTATCACTATGAATTGAAGTGAGTGTGTGTACCCTATATCCATTGTCCATCTATGGCTATGATTTATTTGACAGAAAATATAACCTCTAAAATCTTATCTGACAATCAGGCGCTACTAGGGAAATTGGAAAGACAAAGAGCAGAATATATGTCTTATTCTTTTATTCACTTAAACCATTGTATTATAATAAATAGAAATGGACAAAAGTTCAGCTGTGTCCGAACTCTTATCAAACTAATACCATCCAGTGACTCTAGTACTATCAATCCATCAATACCACCTGGACCGTTCATGACAACCTTGTGAGAGACTAAGATCCGGTCAAAACATAATACTCACGAGGACTTCTCGTCATTATATCAATCGATTTCTGATGCATTCATCAGCGTTGATTTTCTGGAAATCCCAATCTCAATCCTTGACTAATTGGTCAATATCACAAAAAAAATCTGAGATGGCCTAGAGAGAGACTCAGGACTAGTCTGATCATACTGCTTTTGTAAACTTCTGAGTCAGATATGGTAACACTGGGATGTCTGTGTCGTGTTGTTTCAAATGAGTGAGAACAATTTGCCTAATGACCAATCGACTCAAAATTTAAGCGTGCCCAAACTCACACATCATGCATAGTTATTCACTCAAGGACGTGCTTTAATGACCTTGAAAGAGACCCAGAACTGTCATAAACACACTACTGAAGCCTTTCTGTCTGTCTCTCGATCATCACAGTGCGATGCTTGGAAATTTCTATTTGCTCTTTGAGCATGTTTTTGTGAGGTATGGGCAATTGGTCAATATTACAAGGATAACCTATAATGATCTTGAAAACCAATTCGAATAGATTTTTTAGACTTCTTGTCATGATATCGATAACAATGAGATGCATTCATCAGCACAGATTCGCCCAGGTTCGCACGATGTTCGACACAAACATAATAGGGATTATCTTTCGTATGGTGGAGCCCTTTTATTTCTTTGTTGGCTTTCTACAGGGGTCTCCACAAAGTTATAGAAACGTAAATGGTGTCGAGGCATCTATTAGACAAGCCATAACTTCTAGAATATCCGGTGTATCAAAATGAAATTCATTATGGATATATGGTATGTGAAGAGGAACAATTTCGCATATTTTTTACTTTCCGGTTACTTCCGGTTTCACCGGAAATGGCTTCGGTTCTGAATTTTGAATTAAATTTCCTGTGTATTATGATATTCTGGAATTTCTGAGGAAATTTGGTTTAGAAAATTACATTTTCAGGAGTTTCACGCCCATACTTCATCTCTCTAGTCACTTTTGATTTTTCATCTAGGTTGCCATGATCGGACGTAAATGTATCTAAGGTCCTCAGGTGATGTAAAAAAATTATGATCTCAAAGTTTTAGTGACTAGTATGACAGATATGATGAAGACAAGTCAAAATTACATTCTCGTGTCTGACTATGATTTTTCGAAAAGCAATCATTGTTTGACAAGCACCTTCCGAAAAAAGGGTTTTCTTGACTAACCTGAGGATACTAATTTATTTGCGATTGGATTGCAAATAGGAAAATGAATTCAATATTATTGAGGAAAATACTAGACATTTATTCATTCTCATTTGTCAAATGTGCCAATGATAGCCATGACGCTGTTACAGTTATTTTTCTCCAGTCATCTTTGGAAAACATAATCGATAACTATGGAACAATCATGCTCTCCAACTTACTGATATTTTTTTCACTTAGTCATTTTTGATGTTTCTTTTTTTTCAGATCCCTTCGTCTATTTTTCAGTGATAATAACTTCACATGTGGACAAGTTGTTGTTGCCTCGCGCGAATCTCAGTACAAAATACTACATTTTCATCATGGTGGTTTGGATCATTTAGCTCAAGTATTACATCAGTGGCATTCTTTGCTGCACAATATCAAATGTGCAAAAGGTTTGTTTCAAACGAATATTCTTCTACAATCAATCAATAACGTAGTTCTTAAGGCGCTTTCAAATGTAAACACAAAACTTACGCGAAGAGAGAGGAACTCACGATAGTTCTTGAACTAAACGAGAATGGTATGTATCGAGAGAAAAACAACAACTTTCCTGGCTATGTGTCACGCAAAACATAGGATTTTATCTTTCGGGAAAGTGAACTATTGTGGTGATGACTTTAAGTTTTTCTCTCTTTGTGACCATTGTTAGATTTTCAGAGGCAGAGAGAAATCAAACGCACATGTCAAGCTTACTGCAACAACTAACTTTATTCCAGGCACGAAACATCAATCAGTAACACACAGGATGGACAATCAAAATGACGTCATATTAATGATGACAATAGTAGCCAACAGATGGCGCAACAAACAAATGTATAAATATTCATTTTTGATACAGCAATGGTAAATTCCAACACCCCCACTTATCAAAAATTAACAAACTTTAAAAAACAAATTACATAGACTAAAATACAGAGTAAAATAAATGAAATATTTCAAGAACCTTCAAGTCCTAAACATTTCACGAAATAAGAAAATTTTACATTTTGCAGACACTTTGTAAAAATATCAGATATCATTTCATTAGTTGACAAATATTGAATTTTAATCAGCTCATTCAAGACAGCGTTTTTAACAAAATGATGTCTGATGTCTATATGCTTGGAGCGATCATGAAACATTGGGTTTATAGATAGTTTCTGGGCGCTTTGATTATCATTAAATAACATAACATAATTCAAATTCCCAGTGAGTTCACAAATCAAATTTCTTAGGTACATGGCTTCTTTTGAGGCTTCACTGAGTGCCATGTATTCTGCCTCTGTGCTAGAAAGTGCTACAGTCTTTTGCTTATAGCTCTTCCATGACACACAGCCTCCAGAAAGTTTGAAAACGAAACCAGTATATGATTTTCTATCACTTTTATATGACCCCCAATCAGCATCTACATACCCTAGCAAATCGAGATTATCTTTCTTGAATGACATACAATAATTTTTCGTTCCTTGCAAATACCTTGGTACCCGTTTGGCACATTTCCAATGATATTCTGTGTTATAACTATTGAATTGACTTAAAAAACTTACACTGAAAGAAATATCAGGTCTTGTTAACACAGACAAGTACATTAAGCTGCCTATCATTTTCTGATATAGAGAATGCTAATTTTTCACACTTGAAATACTTGCATCATAATCAAAATTATCTGAAGGAGTATTGACACTTTTACAGTCATCCATATTGAATCTTTTCAATACCTGAGTGATATAGTTTTCTTGATCTAGAAAGATACAATTATTCTCATAATCTCTGCGAATTCTCATTCCAAGAAATTGCTTAACTTCACCTAAATCTTTAATTCTGAATTCGAAGCTCAACTGGTTTTTCAAAGTTTCTGTGCCTTCAGCATCATTTGAAAAAATTAAGAAATCATCCACATATAAAGCAATAACAGTTAAATAATCATGTTTTCTTAAAACATACAGACAAGGTTCGAAATCAGATTTTTTAAAGCCTAACTTCATCAGAACTTCATCAACTCTTTGATTCCAGGCTCTGGAAGATTGCTTCAAGCCGTAAATTGCTCTGTTCAACTTACATACTTTGTTTTCTTTGCCAAAATGAACAAAACCGTCAGGTTGTCTCATGAAAACTTTTTCTTTTAAAAAACCATTTTAAAAAGCTGTTTTCACATCTAGATGTGTTATTTGCAAATCTAATTTCAATGACAAAGCTAGTAGTAGTCTCAAACTAGAAAACCTGATCACAGGAGCAAAAGTCTCATCAAAGTCAATATCAGGTCTCTGCATGAAACCTTTTGCTACAAGTCGCGCACGATAACTAACCTTATTCTGGCTATCACATTTCTTTTTGAAAACCCACTTGCACTCTACCACTGTACCACCTTCAGGAGGATCAACCAGGTCCCATGCATGGTTTTCTTGGAATGACATCAACTCTTCTTCCATCGCCTGTCTCCAATGGTCACCATCTGATCTGGAAAGGGCATCTGAGATAGTACCGGGTACATCTTCTAGATCAATGTCACTTACAGACAGATATGTGACAAAGTCATCTAGAACTTTCGGTTTCCTCTGCCGTTCCGATCTCCTTACTGGTAAGTATGCATCTGGTGAGCTGTCCGACTCTGCCATGACATAATCACTATCATCTGGATCAGTAAAGTGTTCGGAATCCAGTGATCTATCTATTGAGCTGGATGTCCCTGGATCCCCTGATTGGTCATCAGCTTCCCCCACTGAATCTAGTGATTCTTCCTGTGGTTGAATCTCGGGTTGAATGTCTGACAAAGAAACATTGTGCCTCTTTCTGTCCTTTTCCACTATGATCACATCCCTACTGGTAACAACAGTTCTTTCTACAGGATCAAAGAGTCTATAATCTTTGACATTATCACAAAAACCAATGAGAATCATTTTCTTTGATTTCCTGTCAAGTTTTGTACGTTTTTCCTTAGGGATATGCATCATGGCATCACTTCAAAAAATGTGTAAGTGACTTACGTTTGGTTTTTTGTTGGTCCAAACTTCATAAGGGGTTTTGTTGTTGAGTCCTGTAGCAATGCTACGATTGCGCAAGTACACAGCACTGTGAACGGCCTCTGCCCAAAAACATTTATCAAGGTCTGCATCAAACAGAAGGCACCTTGCTTTTTCAACAACAGTTCTGTTTAGTCTTTCAAGCATATACCATTTTGTTGGGGAGAGTAAGGATTTGTTGTCTGGTGCAAAATTCCAGCTTTACGGAGAAACTGTGCAAATACTTTGTTACAAAATTCTCCACCATTATCGGTCCTCAGAGTCTTTAATTTTTTGTTGGTTTGATTTTCTGCTAAATCTTTGAATTCTTCAAAGAAATCTATAGCCTGATCTTTAGTTTTAAGGAAGTTAACAAAACACATCCTACTAAAGTCATCTTCAATCAACAAAAAATATCTTGATCCCCCAATGGATGGAACATCCATAGGACCACATAAGTCTGCATGCACTATTTCCAACAGTGAACTTGTTCTGTTGCCTTTGTTCTTAAAAGGTAGCCGAGATTGTTTGCCCTCACAACTAACTTCACATACTTCTGTATTATCTAGCCTGCCATCAAAAATGAGTCCTTTCACAGCCCCTTGTTGCATCAATCTCAAGTCCTTATAATTTATATGAGTGAATCTTCGATGCAGCAAGTCACCTGTCACTGCTAAATTGGCTACTGATATCTGTTGCTTGGGATTTTCAAATTTCAACCTGTAGACATTTTCTACACTTTCAGCTTCTGCCATTAGCTCATTTTTCTGATCATAAATCTTGCACATGTTATCTTCAAAAACATTTCCATTTTTCACCAGCTGACTAACTGATAGTAGGTTTGTAGTTATTTCAGGGACATAGAAAGCATTTGTAATGACAACATCCTGATGCTTGCTACCAACTATGGTTCTGATGTTTACTTCTCCAGAACATACCACTGGGAGGGTATTTTTGTTTGCTACCATTATTTCCTTTGGATTAACTTCATAGTTGATGTTTTCAAGCCAATCTTGTCTTGCTGTTAAATGCATACTAGCTCCGGAATCCACATACCAGTCACTATCATTGAATAGTCCACTTGAGAACACAGCACTGAACGCATGAGGTGTTTTTGTTTCACCAGGTTTGCAATTCCTTTTGCAGTCTGTCTGATGATTCAGATAACTGGGACATTTATTCATAAAGTGTCCCATTTGCTTACATTTAAAACACCTGATGGATTTTTCGTGTTTGTTGACAGTCTTGGAATCAGTGCTGCCATCTTGACGTTGCCCCTTTGACTTGAACTTCGCAGCAAAAGCGCTGGCTGTCTTTTTACCGCTGCCGCCATCTGCCTCCATATCAATCAACTTCGATTTTATGGAATCTGTGGTAATGTCGATACCTGAGTGTTCTATCGCCATTATCATGGGTGCAAACCTGTCAGGCAACCCTGCTAGAAGAAGGGATCCAACCCAATTTTCATCTATTTGGAATCCTGTTCTTCGTAGTTTCTGGGACGTTTCTTTGACTTGATACACGTATGATTCCATTGAATCACTATATTCCAGTCGCAAGGAAATTAGTGAACGTAGCAAACCTATCTTCCGTGTGAAACCGGTGTCAGCATACATGTTCTTGAGCTTCTCCCATAATTCCTGAGCAGTTTTTGCTTCTTTCACGTGGACATATAGTGATGCATCCAGCGTTAAAACTAATTTCGCCTTTGCTTTGGCTATTAGAACAGTATCATTCTCTGTCCCATCCAGCGTTTTTGTTAGTCCTTCGAGCACAAAAAAATGTTCGGCCGCGAACGCCCAATCGTCATAGTTCTCACAACCCATTAATTTAGGTACACTGGACATGTAACTCAACGCCATTTTGAGTTCTGTGCAACTTAACGACGTTATTCTCACTACTGAACCCGCAAAACTATCGAACTTGAGCTTGCCTGGGCCCCATAACCTGTTAGATTTTCAGAGGCAGAGAGAAATCAAACGCACATGTCAAGCTTACTGCAACAACTAACTTTATTCCAGGCACGAAACATCAATCAGTAACACACAGGATGGACAATCAAAATGACGTCATATTAATGATGACAATAGTAGCCAACAGATGGCGCAACAAACAAATGTATAAATATTCATTTTTGATACAGCAATGGTAAATTCCAACAACCATTGCATTCCACTTTGAGTAATTGGCTTTTTGCTAGTTGAAAATACGCTGATCGGGCAGCCAGCCACTCCCATTTCACCTGAAATCATTGGAATCATGAAATCTTGTTCTGGAGTGTTTCTTTCCTTGCCAGATGGCATTTGGCGTTGAACGCCTCGAGGAGTATGAATGCTGAGATGCGTTTACGTTGGGTCAGGTCGCACCAGATAGCGGTCAACAATGCTATCTGGGACAGCCCTGCACTGATGAGA